CCGGACGCGCCTGCGCGCACTGATACGGAAGTGGAGTTAGGGACCGGCGAGTCTAGTGAGGGGCTAAAATGCGAAAGGTGCGCATCGGCCCTTGATGCGCACAAGAGGGCAAACAAGCCGCGCATGCGGGGTTTGTGAGGGGTACGCGAGCGCATGATTGGCGGGTGCACGGGCGTACGCGGATTCTCCGTAGGCGATTTTTGCCCGGGCGGTAGCTGGGACACGCGCAAGTGGGCAGGCAGGCGCAAGATTAGCGCTGAAGGACTGGGCGTGCGCGGCAATCGCGTGGGTGGCGAGGACGCGCGAGACACGGGCGGCGGTAGCAAAGCGCGCGCGGGAGCGGACGCGTGGAAGGCAGGCGCGGGCGTCCTAAAACGAGGAGGCATAGGCGAGGGGCGTGATGGACCACGCGCGAGAGGAAGGAAGCGCGGGCTGGGCGCGCGTGCGATATGAGCGCGCGAAGCCTAATGCGCCGAGGATTAGGCGAGCGCGAGGCAGCGCAGAACGCGCGACACATAAGGCGACCGAATAAAGTTGGGGCGGCAACTTGGAGCATTCTAGAATGATACGGAAGTGGAGTTAGGGACCGGCGAGTCTAGTGAGGGGCTAAAATGCGAAAGGTGCGCATCCCTTGATGCGCACAAGAGGGCAAAGAAGCCGCGCACACGGGGTTTGCGAGGGGTACGCGAGCGCATGATTGGCGGGTGCACGGGCGTACGCGGATTCGCCGTAGGCGATTTTGGCCCGGGCGGTAGCTGGGACACGCGCAAGTGGGCAGGCAGGCGCGAGATTAGCGCGGAAGGACTGGGCGTGCGTAGCAATCGTGTGGGTGGCGAGGACGCGCGAGATACGGGCAGCGGTAGCAAAGCGCGCGCAGGAGCGGACGCGTGGAAGGCAGGCGCGGGCGTCCTAAAACGAGCAGGCATAGGCGAGGGGCGCGATGGACCACGCGCAAGAGGAAGGAAGCGCGGGCTGGGCGCGCGCATGGGGCGCGCGTGCGATATGAGCGCGTGAAGCCTAATGTGCCGAGGATTAGGCGAGCGCGAGGCGGCGCGGAACGCGCGACACATAAGGCGGTCGAATAAAGTTGGGGCGGCAACTTGGAGCATTCTAGAATTGCTTGGTGTGCAAGCCAAGCATTAGTTATTTGGTAGTAATAGGATTTTATTGCTTTCTAGTGTTAGGATTTCTATTATTGCAAGATTTAGGAGATCTAGTATAGTTAGGCTTAGATTTATTTTGCACCTATAAATACCCATGTACCTCTTCATTAATAAACATGTGGAGTCTTGGAATTGATGAGTGAATCTCATAGAGGGGGAACTTATGTTCTTACGTGTGTTTAAACAAGGTCGTTAGTGCGTGTTTACATACAGTGTCAGAGAGAAGGCCATTAGAGCGTCTTGAAGTCACAGTTACTAGGAGAAGGCCGATAGTGCGTCTGTTAGATACACCTATCGTGGATAAACGAAGGCCCTAGTGCACTTTTATTCACAACCACCGTATAGATAACAACATGATCCGTCATCACGCACGCTGTACACGGTAGGCATCACGGTCAGCATTTCGCCGGCCGTCTGGCTACTTTTTCCAGCAATCCATACATGACTGATTATGTTTTGACTTAAAATGACAGAAAATACATAGATTACTCGGGACTTGCCGTTCTATTTTGAAATCACTCGGAGAGAGCTTACATAGCATTTCCGAGGCCGTTTTGCATCAAAACATAGACCGAACAACATGATTCCGACATGACTTTGCTGATATGAACTTAACTACATAAAAAGAGGGTAAAGGAATGTATACCCTTTAGTTCGGTCGAGAAGTATTCGGTGACGTGCGTGTGTATTCGGTACTTGAACGGGCGTGTACTTGCTTCCTTTTGGCTTCGGCCTTCTTAGCTATTTTTTGTATAATTTATCCACTATTATTGCCTCACTATTTTCTCCCTCAATTATGCTGAAGTTAGGTTCGGCTTTTGCATGGAAATGCATAGGAGAAATTACATGTTCGATTATTTACAGGAATGGTAAAAACCGAGGGTGAAATTGGGGTCAAAGAGGTGGTGGATGATGCATTCTCCTCTTGATGACATGTGTTTGGGTCGTGTGCTGAGGTGTGCCGTGTTTGGCTTAGTCATCGTCTAGGTGGCACGCATGCGCGTGCTTAGTCGTCCACCGTGAGCTAGGCTTGAGCCATGTGTTAAGCTACTAGGTGATTCATCACTACAACTTGCAACCCAAACTCATCCCTTTAAAAATTCCTCACGGCAATTTGGAAGTTTAAGACTTAGATTACTTAGTCATGATCATAGCGCTTAGGGGAGTATAAGCGTGTGCTTAAGGAGGTTTAACCGCGCGAATGCACGGTAACGCGCGCTATGCGCGATCGCGCGCGCGCATGCGTGCACTGTTATGTACGACGTGCGTGCGTGCGTGCATGATATGTATCTTTGCGACTTAGCTTGATCTTTGACTTCAAAATTATATCCAAACATTCTAAATTTTCAATAATTAATCCCGATTAATAATATCCGTTTACAAAATAAACGGTTCGGAAATTAATTATCGATTTTAACTCGGTTAATAATTAACCGAATAACTTTTCGACTTAACG